CTCTCGACAAGTAATATTTTTATATCGCTTCTGAAAGTGACGTCCTTCGAGAGAAGATTAATCGCTCACTGTCTAAGAGACGGAAAACTTTTGATGTTTGACATTTTGATATTATATTGCCGAGATGTACTCTTCTTTTCTTTTTTTAAACTTGAAATATACTATAACAATAAAAGAATATTAGGTATACTGTATAATTAATTCACTTTGTTAATAGTCGATTTTCTTAACGTCGAGAATAACATTATTTAATTTGATATATTTACCAATCTCCTTTGACTAATCTTTTCTCTTTGTAGAAATAACAATTATAATAATAGCTACAAAACGTTATGGTTTATATTAAAATGGTAGAATGTGTATTAACAAGGAACTTTGTTCTTCTGTTACAGGGGCATCTTACAACAGGGCAGAAAGAATTACGACGAGGCGATTTTGAGTTATCAACGAGCCATTCATTTCCGACCTTCGTTAGCTCGTAAGTCCTTTAATTACATCTCCTTTTCCGACTTTAGAGACCGCGTAACGTCGTTGGCTTCATTAGCCAGGTCCTTGAGTCTACGGCCATTCGTATAATATAACTTAATATTTGAGCGTTATTAACGCTTATTTGATGGATTCGCGTCGTTGCCGCTGATCGATCGTCAAATAATCCTTAATGTCACGAAAATATATACCGTCCGTTTATACGCATCAGTATACTTGTATCTTTGCGCGAAATGAAGACTGTCGCAAATGTCATTCATTTTATATTATTTAAACAGTGTTAATCCGTTATCGTTGACACTTATATTTAATTTTTACACACCTTTTTTTATATCATCTGTGATTTTACTTGTGACGCAATAATTTTTATATAGACTTTACCGCTATTTATTTTTTTACATTTTTATACACTCTGAAGTACTACATTTACACATTCTCTACAAAATTTATATTTTTGTTCATGCGACTATATTACGTTCACGAACGCATACCCAAATTTTTCTAGACGGTCTTCCAATTGCTTCGTGAGCAGCGCTTTTTACTCTGGGATCAACGTATTATGATTTCTTATAAGATGAGGCAATTCATTTTTTTGTAAGAATTTTTGTTTCTGAAGAGGATTCTCAATGAGGGAGGGGGGGAGAGAGAGAGAGAGAGACATAGTCGAAACATATAAGACATCATTAATTCTTATATGATCAACGATTGGAATATAATGTACTTTACGCATCAAGATCTACGGTTGGCTCTTACATACATATATATATATATATACACCCTGTATTATCTTTATTTATCGTAATTTTTATGATTTAAAACCCTTTGATTATATATTTTTCCTATTCTTATTGTTATATTTTTTATCCGATATATTTATTAATTCTCTCAATGTTCTATTCTTTAATAATACCTTATATCCTCGAACCTTTCTTGCTCCACTATCGCATGTTTCGGTCATCTCTTTGATCGTCAATATTATCAATATGATAATTAGAGATGTAAAATTGCCGTTAGTGTGACAATTAGTTATGATAAAAGATAATTTATCGATAACTTTAATAAAATTTGTTGTTTTGATAGTTTTATATGCACAAATATATAGACTTCTCTTTTCTGCATTAACGCACAAAATAAAACAACATTATTCTCCTACATATGAGCGCGCGCGTGCTCGTTGCTGCATGCTCAGACATTTGTTTACGCGTATCTCGTACGTTTTGTTTTTAACGTTACTTCGATTAGTCTAGCTATCTCCTATAGTCTACTAACTCCGGTCTCCCTTATACCTGCTTATTTAATTTAAGAAATTTCCGAAATAAATAAATTTAATTTAAATCCCGCAGCATACTGAAATATTTAAAGGTAGATGCATCTTTTCATAGCAAATGACACTACTAATATCAACCGTCGCAAAAATATAAAGAATACTCATATTACCTGCAGTGTTTATAATACCTGATTCTATTCTATACAGTATTAAAATATTTATAGAGAATAAGTTAAATATAAGCAATTTTATTCATTTTAAGGATTAAATGCTCCTTTTGAATCTTATATCAAATTTTTTTTATTTCTGCAATTTTCTTTTAAATTATTGTTTTCCCAAAATTATCAAGTAACTTACCGTAATTTACCGAGTAAATTATCATCAGATTGAATCATTTTTACCTGTAATTATTATAATTGAATACCATAGACACACATATCGTAGTGAAACAACTGTAGTTGAAAATCGGGTTAATTTGGTTGAAATTTCGATAAAGTTCAGACAGCATGCAAATGTAAAAATTTGAACATAAGACATCTTAAAAACGTCTTAAAGACACTTTGAGTCGTTTTTAAGATTATTTTATATCCTAATTTTGGACATATCTAGGCATTTTCTAAAATTTGGGCCAAAGTTATCCCATTTTATGGTATTATCTCAACACTATTTCTTAGGCTTGCTTTACTTCTTGTGTAGTAAGCTCCCTTGGGTCCACGTATATAACCGTGCTTACCGTTAGAAGCTGAAAGATCGGCTCCC